CAAACAGTACAGGACGAGTTGGTCACAATGCGTTACAGTAAACCTTTAAATGAAATCTCTCAGCTCACAATATGAACTAAAAGTGCAGAGCACAGAATCCATTAATTTCGGTTCTTATGTACTGTAATGATTAATATGCCCTCCAGCAACTCCACAACATGGGCTTTCCTTCTGAGTTAAAGCTCTCCGATAAGCAGCAGACCATCAGTGATCTTGCACTGCGCTTAGTTGTGGTGAGTGCAGAGTTCTTCTTTCCCCCTTGCTTTCTGTTTTGTGGTGACAGGAACTTTACCAGCACTGCAACAAAATCAAAAACGGTTGTGAACTTTGGTCGTCTTATTAAACGGAAGATCTTATTACTCCAGCACTGCTAAAAGCGAGGGCAAAAATGCGAGATCGTCTTGGAAAATGTTGATTGTTTCACATTACTTTATAGTTGCCCTTAGGTTAGCCATAGTAAGCTTAAGCTTCTTGCATGCACTTGCTAGAAATTAACTGAAAATGAGTTCTATAAATGTTCTAGACAGAATATCATATTGATTAAGCCACGAAGCCAGGGATGTATTGTATGCTATTGCACAAGTATTCACCCCTTGAGTCAGTACTTGATGGAAGCACTTTTGGCAGCATAACTGCTCTGAGTCTTTCGAAACATCTTCTACCTCCATTTCACCTGAGGCTGATTCAATTTTGCCCTTTCTTCTTTGCAAACATGCTCAAGTTCTGCCAGGCTCATTGGGTGGCGTTGGTAGACAGGAATGTTCAAGTCTTGCCATAGAAAGGCACATCCAAAGACATACGCCACCTTTTTGTCAGGCCAAGCTTTGGCTTGTGCTTTCAGTTATCTTGCTGAGAACTTATCATTTGTCCCCTGTTATTTTACCATCTAAGATTAATAATTTCTTTACACTTCTATAGCACTTTTCTGGACACTCCAGTCAAAGTGCTTTACAGGTAATGGGGAATCCCACTCTCACCACCAATGTGTAACCCCCAAATGGATGATGCGACAGCAGCCATAGTGCGACAGTACACTCCCCACACACTAGCTATCAGTGAGGAGGATAACAGAGTGCTGAAGACAAGATTTGGCGAGATTAGCCTGTAGTTTGCTCCATATTTTTTTCTCCTCGGTTTTGACAAGTTGCCCAGGCTCTGCCGAGGAGGAGCAGCCCCATATCACAGCACCACTCAGCAGAGATGGGTGTGCTGTGTGGGGTTTGCGCAAATAACACTTTGCAGTTAGACCAACAATTTCCAATATTGTCTCTTCTGACCGCAAAACCTTCTGCCACATGTTTGTAATATGCTTTGTTGCAAGCTCCATGTGGGCTTGAAATGGGATATTGTTGACTCATGGATGTTTTCTCCCAACTCGGCTGCTGTACTTTTTTCCATGTGCCATTGACCTCATATGGGCATCATTAATCAGTTTCTTCATTGCCCAGCTGCTCAGTTTGGATGGCCATCCTGATCTAGGCAGTGTATAGATGGTAAGATACACCTTCCACTTCTTAATAATCTCATTTTCCATGTTCAAAGGAACATTCAGAGTCTTTAAACATTTTTCTTTCAACCCTCTCCTGATAAGTGTCTTATCACAGTTCTATCCTGGAGTTATTTTGAAAACTCCTTCCTCTTCAAGGTTAAATCTTTGCTTGAAATTCACTCCCTTATTGAAGGTACTTACGGACATGGTGGTATCATGAAATGATGTAAACCATTATTTAATGCACCGAGACAGAGGTCTCTCAGTTAACTCTCACTTGTCAAATTAAATGTGTGATTCTGGATTAATTTAGATTCATTATAGCAAAGGGGGACCCCAAATTAGATGTAGTGGTTAGATAATGGAGGGATGGGTAGCATGGAGGGGGTGGGTAGATTTTTATCCAATCATCATTTGCTTGAAAGTTTACATTTTAAAACCAATAGGCATCTTACACCTGAATTCATTCAGCTTTGCAGTTCCAATTAAAAGATTTAACTTGACAAAAAAACATGTGTGTTATTTATAATTGAACAAAATGGGTTGTCATTGGAACATTCTTGCAAGATACTGCAATAGTTGTAACCCTGTTTAAAAGTTCCTAAATAAAACTAGTTTTGAAAGATTTTCTAAAGTGGGAGAAGCAAAAACATTTGGTCTTGTTTTGTTCAACTTAATGCTATAAACATTGCTTAAAATTGTTACAGATACTAGAAGCACTTCCTCTGGTAATTGTCCATTTTAAGCGATAACTTCCAGCATTTAATGTAAAGGGGAATTTTGGAAATAATACCCGTAATATTTTTTTAAAGGGTAAGTAGAAAGCAATATTGAGCCCAGATGGAGCGCCTTCTCAGATGACGTTTTCAACTTAAGATGTTTTTTAGAAGTAGAAACAAAAGCAAAAACTGCATAGTTTTTAGATTTCAGTATTTTCACCTGAGCTAATAATTTTGTTTGGATTGATAGTAGATTCAAGACTATTGAACATAGTGTGTGACAATCATAATGACAGTGGAAAAAAAACTGTAGGTGGCAGGTTCTTGCAAATTGGGCTGTCAAAGCTATTAAAACGACTACAGTTCATTTAAGAATTTTTCGCCTGATTGTTTCTTTGTGTCCACTTTAAGAGGGCCGTAGCCTTTCAGTTGGTTTCTGACTGCATCAGCATTGTGTAACAGAAAGCAGGGGTGTACTGGAAACATCTGCCGTCTCAATTAAAACACATGTTTGTTGTATACATTTGTTTGTTCGCACGGTTGATTTTTAATAAAACTCAGACCTTTTGGTATTTTTTAAATTCCAGAAAAATGACTTGATGCATAGTTTTTTTTTATTTTGTGTCTGTTTCCCATGGAAAATGAAGGCTGCACAAACTACTGTACTTCATTTGTCTTTGAAACAAAATGAAAAATAAAATAATTCTTTAGCTGCTTTAGTTATCCCCACCACAATTAAGTACAGACTGCCTAAGTCAACGAATGTACAAGCTGAGGCAGCTTTAAACGTTTTTTTTTCCCAGGACTTTAAAAACTACCCAGAATCAGGAATTCATCCAGCATCGCCCTACTTTAATCACAAAGTAATTTGAAAATTCCACATCTTTATGATTTAATTTTGTATGTTATTGCCGAGACAAATTTATCCTAAATCAGATTTGAAGTTTTTGTTCTTTCAGTTCTGTCATTCAGGCAATAAAGCATTCTGACAGCAGCATGACCAGCTTCTACCCTGGTCTTTGTCAGAGTTTAGCCCAGTTGGACCTGGTCAGTCCATGAATGCCAGACATTGAAGGGAAAATCAGCTTGCGACTGGTGGAGACACTGTTTTAAGAGGTTTAATCATTCAGATGGTACTTTAAGCCAAAGTCCAGACAACATGGTCATTACAGTCCCTGGCTGAATTCCACTCTGGTCTTGCACAGTGTGGCTTTTCAACAATATCTTCTTGATCCCAGTGTTAAAGACATTTTTCACTCTTCCACTCCACTGTGTAGTGGGGATTCTGGCACATAACAGCGGGCATAAAATCAAACAGGTGGCTCTGTGCTTTTGTGGAAAGTGGGTCGCACCTAATGTGCAAAGTGTTTCTGGGTGAAAAGTGCTTTATAAATGCATGGGATTTATTAATGTAGGAAAATACACACTTCCATGGGTCGGATTGTGGGAACACAAACAGGAGAGAATGGGGGCAGCTTGTGGAAGACTGAGTGAGATGAACTCTCGAGAAGGGTCAAGACTGTGACTGTGTGCGGGGGAGAGGTTTTTTTGTTTGCCCCTAAGACAACTGTGACTTTTTCACACCAGTGTGTTGTATCAGTGATAATAAAAAAAACAGATGACAGAATGGAATGTTCCTGTCCTGTTTGCTTGTGTTTGACAGACCTCTGTAAGTGTCTTGTGCCTTGTGTGTTTCTTTGATATGTTAAAGTCTCGCCTACTTGTCCTGTATAAATGGAAAAGAGTAACTACAAACGAGCATGTTTACTGAGCAATAGGAGATGCCCTGACTCTGTGTTATGCTCCCTTTCAGTTCAAGTTCAAGTTTGTCATTATACTCATATACATATATGGTATAACGAAATGCTATTTAGCTAGCTCTCAGACATAAGTAGTACAAGAAAAAAACAACAACAACAATACAATTGTATAACAAAAGAAAGACCGAGACAACAGGCAGTGTGCAAAAAACAACAACAGGCGATGTGCAAAACAACAAAAAGGTAACAGGTTATGTGCAAAAATATGCATCAACAGAATGAAATAAAGGGATAGAAATTATGGGGAGTGAGCTTTTGATGTGTATGGTAGAGGTAGATTTTCAATATATGTTTGGGTTTTTGGAAAGAAAGAAAGAAGGCACTGTGAGGTTCAGATCATAGGTGAGAGTGAGAGAGGCTGGGAGTTGAATAGTTTGATAGTGCGGAGGTAAAAACTGTCTCTGAGTCTGGTAGTCCGGGCCCGAATGCTCCGGTACCGTTTTCCAGATGGTAGCAGATCATACAGTCTTTAGCTGGGGTGTGTGGGGTCTTTGGTGATGAGATGATTGAATTAAAGATCTCTGTTTGACAGTCTCTTAAGCCGAGTAAAGACTGAGTTTTCTTCAACAAGCTGTAGGTTAGACTTCAACACTCCAGGTCCACCGGTGTCCTGGCAGCAACTGGGTACAGCACAGCTGGCAAATGCATCTCCCTGGCTGTGCTCAGCAGATTCTGTGCTCCCACTAGGAACTCCCAGGCCCAGTCATTGAGTGGTGTACCCTTGACTGAAAATGGTGATCTTCAAGCAGTTGATCTCATCCAAAATTCCTGGCAGAGGTCTTTCCCAGATGGTCCACTCAGAAATGTATTTTCATGCCAAAGATTAACGTTTTATTGGGGAAATTCTATCGCAGATTAAAAAAAAAGGTTCCAAGCTGCAAATTTCCTGAAGCGTTTTGTACAGATCCTGAGACCACTGATTAGTGAGTTGTCACTCCGAATATAAATTTCTCTTTCCCTTTTGCTCAACAGGGATTTGGGATTCGTTGGTGTATCGGAGCAAATTCTCATGTTACTCCCGAGACTTCAGCTGGTGAGTTCGGACTGTGTATTAGAGGGTAAGTTAATTAAATCTAATTGTACCTTCTATTTCAAAAGTGTCTGTTTGCCAGGAAGATGGTTTCAGGAGTCGGCTTTAATAGAGCAGTCTTTTTTTAAATAGCTGTCCGGTGGGGGCTGTGCGTCTACAAAAGGTCTGGTGTAAACAAATTATGGGTTTAAAAAAAGTGTTTTTAGCAGGAATGTTAAAGATGGCTGCGGTCATAGAAGAAGAAGTTCTGTTTTAGCGATGTTCCATTCCTCAAGTGTCTGAATAGCGCAGAAGATGCCAGAGCTGTGTTCAAGAATCACACAAAGAACAATAAAAATAAATAGCTTTATTAAAACCAGATATTAAATATTCACTTGTAATAAAGTTCTAACATGAGACACCGAACATGTGGGTTTTCATTCTGGTAATCCGCAATCCAGATGTGGAGATTAGTATCTTTGAAGTGCCATCTGATTCTCCAGACCCTGCTAAAGCCAAGTAACCAGTGAGAGTATTTGGACCAATCTTGGGAGAGTCAAGTCTGAAAGAATGACATGAATTCCTTTTCATAGTGTGCGCCTGTATGATATTAGCATCTATTAAGTTATTTTTCACTACTTAAATAATAACAAAATCTTCCTAGATATTTACCAAGCCAGTAATTTGCAACAGTTGTTTTAGAGAGCTAGTGGGAGAATGTAATATTTCCAATGAAGTTGTTACTGTGTACTCTACATGAATCCTACAGTATGTCCAAAGAGAATGCGTAAAATGCTTTATGGTTGTATAACTGAATTGTTTTTTTACTTTTAAATGTACGATTGTAAATGTGAGCCAGCACAATAGGTAGGTAGCTTTGCTTCAGGATTTTCTAAATGTTAAAAACCTCACGCAAAGCACTGGTGAATGTGAGAGAGTATAAAATAAAGTTTATAGCACCTTTAAAGGTGGGTTCTCAAAGCGTTTTACAGAACAACAAGCAATATAAAAATACACAAGATAGTCTCCTCATAGTGTATATGTGGAGACAGTAGATGGTGGTACTGAATACAGTAGGAGTAGAAGGGTAAAGAACAGAACCAGTTAAGTAAAGGCTCTTCTAAAAAAGAAGGTTTTGAGTCTGGATTTGAAGGAGTTCAGAGAAGGTGACTCTCTGATATCCTTGGGGAGAGAGTTCCAGAACTTTGGGGCTAACACGAGAAGGCCCTGTCACCCACAGAGTGTAGACCAGCTTGGAGGACAGATGGGAGACCAGAATTACAAGGGTGAAGGTTGCGATGTGGGGAGTAGGATGATAGTAGCTCAGACAGGTATTGAGGTGTCAAGTCATGCAGAGCCTTATGAGGATTTGTCGATACAAAACCTGACAGGTAGTCAGTGCATGGACTCCAGGACAGGAGTAATGTGATCACTTGCACTAGACCTGGATTCTGCCTGTCGAGTTGTGGACGTAATGGCATTGATTCAGTGTGGATTTAGATACCCCAGCGAGCAGAGCATTACAGTAGTCTTCAGGAGAAGACAAATGTGTACTTTTCTGTGCTGCAATGCACAAGAGTAATTTAAGGAAAACGGGTATAGTGTTTTTTCCATCGAATGTTGGAAGTGCATGGCAGAGTCACCCCGATATCTCTCAGTATTTCAACATTTGAAATGGTCGATTGCAGCTTAAGGGGAGATCAAAAGTGAAACAAAAATCAAACTGAAATGTTTAGAATGTACAGTATGTAGTTCTTTTATCATAATCCTATGCTACTGAACATCTCTTTAATGCCACGTGATCCAACTCAAAAATCAGTCCTCTCGGGAAAGATGCCTTCTCTGTATACTGGAGAGGACAGGCACTTGGACTAACAGATACAGACATTGCAGTGTCTGTGGACACACTAAAAAAGTCCATGTGGAAACACTCAGTAGATCTTGTAACAATATGCTTCATCGGTGCCATGTTAGTGGTTGTGTGGAGATAAATACAAATGATGGACTGAAATTTGTTTTGTTTTCCAGTGAAATAAGAAATCCAGCTTCAGTGGAAAATGTCCGAGTTAAAAATAGAGCTTCTGATATAAAGTCCACCTCGAGTCAGTTCTGCGATCTTTAGGAAGAGCATGATCCAGGGAGAATTGCAGGTGTTAACGTTTCACCCTAGAGCTCCAAAAGAGTCTGGCAGACTAATCCCACATTACAGAGCTCATACTGAGTGTGCAGCACTTCCTGGGAAAATCCCAATAGCAGTAGGGTAGCGGAAGAACCAGACTTGCATCTGGAATCATAGTGCTCAGCCTGTGTTTCGGTAAGCTCCTTTATTGGTTAAGCCCTCCTGAAATCTCCCAAAATGATGACTGTTTGCTTGATCTCTCCGTGAAGCTGAGGCATATTAAGGTCTTCATTGCACAGGTCTATAGGGCCAGGGGTGGGACTGTCCAACTCTGTGCTGTAACAACAGATCCCATAAAAGCTTTTTCTGAGCCAACTCCTAAGTGCTGCTGTCTGATGGGTGTTCTTGGGGTCTACTCTAATTGGGGATGAAGGGAGACATAGGAGAAAATAGGCGTTTCTTGCCCTCCCAAAACTCTTTTAATCAAATTTAGGCTTTAAGACAGTTCTTTGGATTGGGCAAACATCCAGTGTTGGATCATTCTTTGATCTGAATTATTTTATCCCACGATTACACCATTTTTATTCAATGGAATGCATTGAAGGTAATCCTTATTAACTGGCATGCAGCAATACAGTATCATAAATACTCTAAAAGAACATAGACAGGAACCCAGGAACAGTATATAGTTATTCCTCAAACCTAAAAATGGAGGGAATTCCATGCTGAAAGTGTTAGAGAAATTAACTTTGTTAGTTAATTTATTTGCACTGTCCGGTTTCTGCAGAAGTCTTTTGTGTGAATACTGTCACATTTCGTAACTAACAAGAACCATAAATAGGACTTTGAGAGGTAACGTTATACTTTGTGAAGGACTAGATATAATAGTGAGTGACCCAGGATCTCAAACTCCATCTGCTCCTCGTCCCCTCTCATCTTATGATAAACTTGTAAAAGAAGTTGCTGTTAAGCGTCTTGTCTCCAAATTGGTCAAGGAACCCGGTAGTAACAAAGCAGTGATGAACTATTTCTTAATTTGTATTTACCATGAGATTCTTTTAATGAGTTTAGCTCTGACAATTGTAGATTGAGCTCCTGAAGATTTATGAATCTTATTAGCTCACTGTTTTCCAACCAAGTATTATATGAGGACAGAAGATTGAGGCTTACATTGAAATAAACGGAATATTACCGCCCTCTAGTGACACGCAAGAGACTGTTTTTGTCTTTCTTGATCGCATCTTAAAACGGGTTTTTCCCATGTGGACATTTCTGACGGCCATTGATGTTGCAAATGGCATTGGTCATGTATATCAGAACAAGGTCTCCTTTGTGGAATTAATGTTCTAGCTTGGAAGGCTCCACTGGTGAGAATGACTTTTGACATTTATCAGTGATGCGCTGTGACAAAGCTACCTTTGACCAGGCAGCTCATAAAGGCTGACGACGTGGACAAACCATGAGGACCTGTAAAATACTGTATAAGGACGTTTTAGTCAACCTCCTTCCACAGGGTAGCACAGTGGCACAGTGGTTATCATTGCGGCCTCGCAGCACTGAGGCTCAATTCCTGGGGCGCTCTGGGAGTTTGTATGTCAACACGGTTTCCTCCCACAGCCCAAAGACATACTGGTAGGTCCATTGCCTTCTGGGAACATCGCCCCCGGTTTCAGAGAACACGTGTCTGTGGTAGACTGGTGTCCTGACCTGGGTTTATTCCACCTTGGGTCTGCTGTTTGCTGGGTTCGGCTCCCAACTTCCCCCATGACTTTGTCCTGGCTTAGCGGATTAGAAAATGGCTGCACACCATGTGAACCTCTATACAAATAATGGAGGCCCTAAAGACTTCTTGCTGCAGATCAGTTGAAACAGCTGTGCTAATTACCACGGTCTTACCACAGTTGAAACTTGTTCAGTCTATTTTAACCTGCAGTTTAATGTAATTAGATTTTTGTTTTGTTATTTTGCACTAGATTTCCCCCTTCAATTTGCACATTTATGACTCATTCAGCACCGAGCATGATGTATACTGAGCGGTCCAAGTGCATGCATGTTTGTAGAAAACACATATGGCTTTTGTATATTGGTTAAATGTTTTTGGTGTTGTTTTTGCTTAGTAGATGTCCGACCTTGAGGTACTGCATAAACACTAATTCAGCTCATTAAGGAATGTGCTGAGGTGGTGTGCAGGTAATTTGATGTGAAGGTAAGTTGATTCCACCCGTTAAATGTCAAGACTGGAAAATATCGGACCTGATCTGCTTATCAACACAGTGACACATTGCTATATTCAGTGGAGGAAGTCAGTGCATTTTTGCTGGGTTTCACAGACAGCAATACTGACTTGGCAAGATATTCCAGCCAAGCACTGTTCGTCAACGACACAGTAGGTCATGATTTGGAATAAGATGCTTCTCCAAGCTCAACACATCATTAGAGTATGATGGCTGGTCAGGAGTGTCTAGTTGCTCCAGAACTCTAGGTGTTGAGGTTGATTGCAACTTGAGTGCTTGGAACTACTGTATATTGATCAAGTCCTCGGACGTATTAACTCATCATGAAATGACAACCTTATCAGCAGGACAGCGCATTTCTTCATGCTGCTTGAGTATCAATGCCGTTAATGCGCAATATAAATGTGAATGAGGGCATGGTTGCCTGCCTTCCCAGTCTTGAGCTATATTGAACATTTGTGACATTAAAGGCATAATTACCAAGACTCATGAACAAGCAACCTGGTCCAAAGACTTCATCACAAAGGAACAGCTTGTATTGCTTCCAAACGTGGCCACACACGCAACCACTGTGATCTATGTCAGTTTCTGCAAAAGAGGAATTTTCCTTTGAGCACGAGGTTTCCTCTACCTGTCTTTTGAGAAAGCACAAAATCTTTACTTCTTGTGAGCAAAAGTTACTGCAGTTTTTTACAG